AAAATTCCGTCCCAAGCTGATGTGGGCTTAATACGCGGCTGGGCTTATTAACGCGGCGATTACTTTATAGCAAAAGTGCTGGCCTACATAATTTCTTCCGCTGAATATTTTGTTATTAGTCCGAAATGTTGAAAGAAAAATCCGGTTCCAACTGCGGATTCCGTTTTTTGCTAACACATGCTTGAATGACTGCGGTCAGAAGTTAAATACCGATTAGCAAAATTTTTTAACTGCTAGCTGTTTGCAACGGAGAATGATCTCAAGAAAATAAAGGCATTTAAAGACCCCTTATTAGAGATCTTTGGTTTGGCAATCATATAGTTACATCCGAAAAGCAGTACGTGACATCATTTTCTTTTAATGAAGTAAATATCAATCGATGGTATATAGCGCACCGGTTACCGCGTAAGGCGCCTGAGGCTGTGGGTTGTGATTTCTCATAAAAATGGGGGCTGTAATTGCCGACTATGAGCTTTATATTGGGATGAACCATGAACGACTCCTTTATAGGATCAAAAAAGGTACACATATTTTCATTATTTATATTTCTTAGATTGGATCATCCGATTTAAATTAAATGACTCTCTTATTGGCCGAGATGTTCGGTTCTTCACCAATTACCCAGCTGGCTCAACCAGATTTATCCGATCCTCCTATTGTGAGCTACCTTTAAATCAACCTTCCCCAACGTCGAAGAAGCTGGACCGTTTCGACAACTTCTTTGAAATTGGCCCAACTAGGATCACTGGAGCGTTCCATTTTGTTTTCACGACAGATGGATCAACTTTCACTCCTGATCTATTGGAGACTGAGACATTCCGTATGTTTGGAGGCCAAGGATATTTTGCTGTGGACGGCCGATTTGGTCTTGCAGAGCAAAAGAATCCGGACCTGACTGATCCGTTTGTTCAATGGGATTTGGAGGGGGTTGTCGCACAAACGTACCTGGCAAAAAATCTGGGCTATTTTAAGGAATGGCCGAACCGACTTAGAATGGCCAAAGAAGCCGGTTATAACATGATCCACTTTTCGCCATTACAGGTATGTTTATTTGGACAGCAGTTGGTATAAGTGACTGAGTTGTAGAAATTAGATAACGCCTCTGCTTGATTTTCCGACTACAAGATGTTGGTTTTAGGAAACCTTAAATATACGTCATACACTGCATGTCGAAAATTTAAGGGTTATCTTGGAACTGCTGTTGGATTATATGTCTAAGTCTACTACTAAATTGTCTCATTTTTGAAAAGCTCAGATACTTCTATAATAAGGACATGACTTTAGTACAGCTGATGCTCCGCCCCCAGTATATACGCAGATCAGACTAAGAACCTTTCGTTAATTTAAATTTTATTTTTTCTCTGTAACGGGACACTTATTCTGACCATCCATTCGACCTACAGAAACACAGCCAATAAACCGACCCCAATACAGTATGTCAGGTGCCCACGCAGGTATTCTCAAGAAAGTTACCTAGAATTTACTTCACAACTATCAGTCAAGTTAATTCAGTAGTTTTTTGGTTTTGAATAAAACAGGACTGCGATATTTGAAAACGCTACTGAAAGATAAGGGCTTAGGAGTACAGCCAACGAAATGTCCACCTGAAGTATGGTGTTCATATTTAGGACAGATATTTTTTACGTTAAGAATGTTACGTGCTGATCCTACTGTCGTGTCTCTAATCCACAAATTTTATTTCAGCCAGCTGCATCATGCGGCAACAGAAACCTCGGCGAAACACATGTTTCTGCGTTTAGCCATTTTCTGTGTCGTGAAACCGTTATAAAACATTTGCCATTTGTTAGTGCCCCAAAACCACCGTTAATGTACCCAATCGTAGCCGATAGGGCAACGAGTCCGTGGCTCAATGTTCAAGGCGTGTTTCTTCCAAAATACGTATCGGGTTCAAGCCTAAGATGTTAACAAAATCTGGGGTTGAGCATGACTGGCTGATAGAGATCTTTGCAGTGTGATTAGCTACTAACAACTCTCTGACCCAATACTAAGTCGTCTCTGCTGGTGTTTTCTGCTGATGTCTCTGATAAAGAATCCGCAACGGATGTCGAAACGTAAGGTGAATAAATGCCTTGCCCCGTCAGTCGCTTCTTCTCAATAGTGGCGTTATGATGCCTGTGTCATAACGTTAACCCGGTAACGTATGCACTTGCCATTAAAGCTGGCATAAACTTAATAAATTGTGTGTTGAGTTTTAGTTAGTATTTATTTAATATAACAATATGCAAAACCGACATTTGCCATTTAATAATTATGTAATCATTAGCGTACTGAAGAAGATAAGTTTTGCGAATGGCAGTCTCATGTTATTAAAGTGCAGTAGAGTATTGCATCTAAAAAAATTGTTTCTATAGGGAACGCAAGATCTGTACGAAAAATATTCTTGAATTATTTCTTGTAGTCTTAAATTTTCCTCAAAACACAGGAATTTTCATTGACCATTTGTTCATAGATTTTACATTTTAAAACATCATTACTTATGATCTACTTTTAAAAGTAAACATAAGTGTCCTTGCAGAGTTTTTCCAGAATTTTTCAAAGTTTTGGATCCGCGAAAAATCAAGGATGCAAATTAATTAGGTTCGAGCAAAGTTTTGCGTTTCCATGAGTTCGCGTTTTCAAAAATGCAAATGTAAGATATGATTACATACATAGTGTCAACAACTTGAATATTCACGAGAACAGTTCGGTTCATTCCAAAGAATCTTCTCACTTTATTATCATTTTCTCGGAATGCACACTGCGATGATTGTTTGCCGTAGCGTCCATTCACAAATGTTGCTATTCCCAACCGAAACCGGCAAGATAACGAGCCCGTTCCTCAATGATTAGACCGTTGGATATCTACTTGGAAGGTCGCGAGTACGAACCCCGGTCGGTGCACCACCCGTGGCTGGGTATAGCTGGCAGATAATAGTTAAAAAGCTAAAAGTGGCCATTCTCTCTCCCTTGTCGTTTATGTCCTTCTACCTATATTACTAGCTGCTCTGCGGCTTTGGGTGCGGCCCGAGAGTGAACTCAGAGGCAGAATGGAACGCGTGAATCCCGGACCGGGCTAATATATACATTTACTAGTAGCGTAAGCCTGAATCTATGAGAAAAAAAAGGTGTTTCAAATTTCAGCTGTTTTACACACTTGTCGCATGTCTGGCGATGACCTAGCAAACCAACCTTGACATTGATCAAAATAAGGTCGGTTGGCTTTCTGAATTGGCTTATTTTAAAAATTAAATTGCTGTTATACGCGTCTCGAGCGTTATTTATATGGTAGGGGGACGTTAATCAGTGGTCTTGAGATGCTGATTGACCTGCCGTAAGTCCTTCTAAAACGAATACCTTACTTTATCATCGCTTAACCTTTTCAATTTTCGATTTTTCGCTTCTTAATATACTGATACAAAGTGCTGTTGCAAAGGTTTGCCTATATGCCTTATATAGTCTATTGTACGAAGTATCCATTAGTTTAACTTTATACGTTTTCTTAAACACTTATTTACTCATTGACACTTAAAACTACTGTGCCCACGCTTGACCTAGTTGATATCAGTTATGTGGCGTATGTCGCTTCAACGCGCAACGATCGGCGACAGCAGATCGGATTAGCTAGACTTACCCTTCTAATTGAGTATTTCTTGGCACGCTTTTGAGCACGATACTTTATGTTCAAAGACAATCGGCCCATGACATTGGAACGTGAAGGACAGCTAACACTTTTTACATCCAGGTGGGAACAAGAGATTGAAGTTAACCTTCGCCTGTAACTATGTGGTCCTTGCCAAGTGTTTGCTGTTCGTTTTCTGGCTCACCCTACCGCTAAAAATGTATTGATTTATGACAGGATGTTACGTAAAGTTATTATTTTATAGTCGCTCACTGGTTCATCATTTCAGACGTCTGAAATTTGTGACCAATAACAGTGCCACCCCTTTCTCACGTGTTCACGAAATCCTATTGCAGTTCTACTATTGCTAATGTTCTTGCTCTCTAAAATGGCAGAATGTATGCCTTAAGTTTGCTGTATCCTTTCTACTCTGTAGTTTCAAATAATCTCGTGCAGATGTCTTTGTTGGTGCATGTACTCATTTTTTCGCCTCATTATTCATTGTCTGCGTTAACATCCTTTTACTGTAAAATTTCTTTTGTAGGAGCTTGGCGCTTCGCGCTCTGGATATTCTCTCAGAGATCAACTGAAGGTTAATCCAGATTTTACCGCCCCCGGAAGTCCGGAAGTTGATTGGCCTCAAATTGAGGAGCTTGTCAGGTTCATGAAAGATGAGTGGGCCGTTCTCAGCATGTGCGACCTGGTCTTGAATCATACCGCCACCGATTCACCTTGGCTTATTGAGCACCCGGAGTGTGCTTACAATATGGTTAATTCGCCGCATCTTGTCCCTGCCTTCATAGTGGACTTTGTAATTTGGAAGATGACCCAGAAGTGCGCCAGGGGTGAACTTATTTCAAAGGGAATTCCACCCGAATTCAAGTCCTCTGAAAGTCATGTGCAGTCGATTCGGGCTTATCTTGCTGAAAAGTTCACCGACCTGAAACTCTTTGAATTTTACCAAGCGGATGTCGCGGCTGTCTCGGCGGAATTTAAAGAATGGCTGAGTGAGTTTTGCTTACTTAAGGTCTGGATACTTTCCGGTCATATTATATCTTAATTTGTGCTTGCGATCGTCTTGCTTTTGGCGTCACTAATATTTGTATGCCAAATTTCCGCAGTGGACTCCCGTAATGTTGTAAAGAGAGTTGCCGCACTCTCGTCTTGGGCCTTTGATGTCCATGTCATCTACTGCATTCGAGTGTCTTGACTTTTTATATCGCCTAACACTTTGAAATTAAGACTTTTCAGTTATTATAAGGATTTTATCTGTTTCGCTTTGCTTTTTTGCAAAAAAAGTATTAGCTCGGCGTGAATTCCAACGAAAGCCCCATGCCTACGAGCTACCGGATTACTAAAACAGCCTGTTGGACGTTTACTAATTTTATAATTTTAGCAGAGATTTTCGGTGGAAGGATATTTTAAACACTATCGTCGTGTCAACCGTTAAACGTCACTGATTGGATTCTCGGGAAGGGCCTTAACGAAGAGGACGGGGTGAAATTCGCACGCGGACGCCAGCTGGATTACTTTGGTTATGCCGACGGTATCGTACAGCTAGCCTCCATATTTGGTAATATACAATCTGTAGTGTCACGGGTGAATGAAATCGTCAACGGGTGCATGCACAAAAGAGGTGATCAAAAAATCGCACCGACCCCAAATCCTGACGAGCGATTCCATACGTCAAAAACGTATCGGAGGCCGTCGGCCGCCTTCTTGCCGCTTTTGGAGTTGGAGTCGCGCACAGGCGGGAGGCAACCGTAAGGTGTCGGATAGTGAAACCAAAAGACCGATTGCCATGGCATGAAACATCTGGAGTCGTCTATAGGAGATGGTGCAGTTGCAAACAAAACAACTAGGTGCAAGAAATTGGAAGATTTCTCAAGACGCGAATTGCTGAACACGCGGCAGCAGTGCGGAGAAATGACGCCTATTCTCAAGTTGTGGCTCGTTCGACGAGACCTGGCCACACATTCAAAGTTGATGGGGCCGAAATGCTCGCAGGGTGACAATCATGTGAGTCGCCAATTACTTGAGTCGTCGTTCACGAGCCCCCAGTCTATGAACAAGTGCAATGAGCTGCCCAATCCATTTTCCGTGCTAAAGCTACATTTGACCAAAGTAAGTCGCCACTCAGGGAAAGCACAGGCCAGCGCCGGAGAACCAGATGGCCGAGCAACTATCACGTCCACTTCCACCACGCGTGATGGAAGTTCAGCAGGTCACGACCCGAACGCCGGTAATCAAGAAATAAGCGCACAAGCGGCAATTATCCTCGCTAGGTAGTCATTAATTGTCTAATTGTGCAGTAGTTTAGTGACTTTATCCTATAAACACAACAACTCGCTGTGCATTAATTAAACGTTTCTGTTTACGTCTGCGATGATGGATCCGCGAGAGATTCCGAAACGTCAGGCAAATAAAACTCTTGGGCAACAGTAGCTTATGTAGGCCTACTCATTAATCCCTACTCCCTGCATGTTTTCATACGAAAACGGTAGTTATAGGGT